AATCCGCAGGTGTGTCTTGTCCTCACTGACCTTTGGAAAGGGCAAACCTCGTTGACTTTGGACTCGAGCAGACGGGCCTGGAAGGGCTGGCTTGGGACTTCCCAGCCCCCCCTCCCCCGCTGGGCGCTGATTCTCGCCCCGAGTTTGGGAAGCAGCCTGCTGCGTCCGTCTGCAGGATGAGAGTAGGATGACAGCAGGAAGAGCCCTCTCGCAACTGTGCTGTCCCCGATTCTGGGAGTGACGGGCCCTGCGTCAGACCCGGGAGAGCCGGTGTGGGGGTAGTTGTCGGGGGCTGCTGGCCCTCACCACGGGGCCTTCCTTGGGGAGTTGCTTTGGGCACTTGCCACTGGGAAGGGGTCTTGTGAGACATGGCCAAGCTTAGCGCGGATGCTTCCTGGTGAAATCGCTGGGGGCAGAAGAGGCCAGGACCGACCAGCCATGCGGGTGGCAGGTACAGGCTGCCCTCAGGCCGCTGCCCTGCTGCTGATTCGGGGAGCCGGCCCGGCACCGGGCGGACTGCGGGCGTCCCCGCGGCCTGGCGGACGTGGAGAGATGGGAATGGGCTCTGCAAGGGCGCCGGGACGCGGCTACCGGCAGGGCGTCGGTGCCCTGGTTTTTGCCAAGTGGGGAGTCTCCTCTTCTGACACTTACTTTTGTCACTGATCGAGAAGTTTTTATTGAGAAATAAGTCTAAGAGACAACGAGCTGTAAAAAGCAGGAGAAACCTCCTACATCCTGACTCCCAGACAATCTCCGAAACCTTGACGGACAGGCTCGCGCTCTCATATACCCACACACACACACCCCACACACGCACACTCCCCCCCCACGCACACACCCCCCACACGCACACACCCCCCCACACGCACGCACACCCACCCCCCCCACACACACCCCCCCCACACACACCCCCCCACACACACCCCCACACACATGCACAGATACTGAACACCACTGAGATCATTTTGTCTGCACTACAGTTTGATTTTTTAAAAATCTAACATTGTGATGCGAGCAAACCGTATTATGAAGAGCCCGTTGGCAAGAGCAGTTTGGGCAAGAGCGCAATCTATTCAATGTGCGTCCAGCAGCCACGGAGCGCCCGCGCATGTTCGACAACACAGGGCGCCCACGCATGTTCAACAACACGGAAGGTACCGGGTGGGGGGGCACGGGGCGAGCTGACCAACCAGGCCGCTGACTCCTGGAGCTCACTTTCCCGGGGTGACTGGGGCGGGGGCTGGGACAGGAAACAGAAAGGCAGATATGAATACAAAATCGCGTCCCAGAGGACCTCGAAGGGAGTAGCGAGGTCCGGCTGGAGAGTTCGGGCGCGGACTGCTCCCGAGGCCGTCCCAGGTGAGCTGAGGCCCGCGTCACGCCCAGGATCCGGCCTGTGAGGCCCGGGGGTGCCTGTTCTTACTCGGCCGAGGGGACCCGGGGCCCCGTCCTCCCTGGGGGAGGGGGCCGAGCCTCCCGGGAAGGCCCTCTGGTTCCACAGAAGGGGCCAGCCCCCTCCCAGCCCAGGCGGCCCACGCACAGCGGGGCACGCGACCGGCCTCAGAGCCCGCCCGGGAGTCCAGCCTTGGACCCAGGGCTGGCGAGGCCGCCCCCAGGCTCCGGGCCCCTCCTCCTGCCTGGCGCTGCCCCCCCAGGCCCCCCCACAGGCTGACCCACATCCCGGGCTCTTCACGGGTGACTAGCTCTGAGCTGGGCCGAGTCAGCCTCTTGGGCCTTTGTCCCCGGGAACGCTTTCCTCCCAGGGGAGGGCAGGCAGGGCCTGGGGGCCGCCTGGCTTTGTGGAGCCCCGTCACCCGGGGTGAGTCATGGTCATGGTCATCTCGTCCATTCATTCAGAAACTGCTTATTTCAAAAGCCTCTCCTGCCAGCCTTCTATGTTTCAAACAAGATTCTGTGCTGTGCTTTTCTACAGTTATTTAACCAATTATCTTTTTTTTTATGAATGACTCTTCATGTTTTCTGCCTTTTCCTTTCATCCTTTCAGGACTCCGAGGAGCTGAGGGATAATTCAGGCTGCAGCGCCCAGCCCCCGCCCCCGTCCACACCCCCCTCTAGCTCCCAGAACTGGAGGCTCCAGACTGGCCTCTGACCCCCCACCCGCCGTGGCCCAGGCCCCAGGTCCCTTTCCTGGAGTGGAAACTCCTTCCTTGCATTGTCAGCCGCTGCTTTCTAGGCCACCAGAACGCCTGCCTGCGTGGAGGGTGTGCACTCGCCTCCTGCTGGCGGTATGGCTATCGCCTCCAGGGACAGGTCCTCTCCAAGGCTGGGATGGCCCCTTGCGCTCTGCCGGCTGCGGGGGAACTGGGCTCAGCCTCCCCACGGTGGCACTGGCCGGGGCCCTCAGCAGAACCTCAGGGGGCAGAGGGCTGTCTATGGCCACGCACACCTTCCCCAAGACTCGCAGACAGGCCGTTAGCTGGCCCCACTGGCCCTGCAGCCCTGGGCTGTGCACAATCTGGGGTGGGGGGGAGGGGAGGGCTGTCTGTCGAGAAGGCAGGGCTCTTGGGGTCAAAGGCAGGGGTCAGAGACCTCCTTGAGTGCACCCTCCAGCCCCTGCTCAGGCTGCCCCCCGGCCAGCGTTCAGAGCTCAGAGGCGGGTGCTGCTTACAGCAACCTCTGGGTCCCCAGCTGGGCGTGGCCAGCCGATCAGGGGACTGTCTGGGTCAGCGCTTTGACACCAGAGCGCCCCCCTGAGGGCTCCACCTGGGCATCCGGAGAGAGTGCCCCCCGCCCTCTCTCCCAGCGTCTGGACCGCGGGACGCTGCAGAGCTCCGGGCCAGCCTTCCTGAGCGAGGGCCCCGACCCAGGGAAGCACGCAGTCCCGCTGTGGCCTCCCTTTTAAAGGCTTTCTGACCCTTGGCTGATGTGGCTCGGTGGATTGAGTGCTGGCCTGTGAACTGAAGGGTCGCTGGTTCGAGTCCCAGTCAGGGCACATGCCTGGGTTGCAGGCCAGGCCCCCAGTGGGGCGTGCATGAGAGGCAGCCCTGCACTGATGTTTCTCTCCTCTCTTTTTCCACCCTTCCCCGCTCTCTAAAAATAAATACAGTCTATTTAAAAAAAGACATTCTGGGGGCCTTTGGGGGTGGGGCCAGGCACCAGCACCCTTCCCCTGTGGGCGGGCAGTGCTCATCTCAGGGGGGCGTGCATGTTCTGGGGTGACCAGGTAGATCGGAAACTGTTTTATTCTTCCTTATAGGGTTTGATGAGCTGTTTCAGGGTGCATGTTTGCTCCTGGGAAGTGGGACACCTAAGAGACGAAGATAAGCATGTGGGTGATAAGGAAGTAACAGGACTCTGCAAGACCTGGACAATGGTCCCTTCGCAGCACCGACCTTCACCCTGGACTGTTCCAAGGGGCCGAAGTGCTGGGTGTCACAGTTGGCTCTCCCGCCTGCCAAGGCCTCGGGGTACAAGTCTGGAGACCCCAGATCGGGAACTGTCTGGGAGGGCTCAGAGGAAGGGGGTGCTTTGGCCAAGGGGCTGGGGAGCAGGGTCAACAACAGGAGCGATTCTCTCCAAGGGTCAGTCTCCAGTCAGGGCACGCGCCTGGGTGGCGGGCCAGGTTCCCCAGTAGGGGGCGCTCAAGAGCCAACCACACAGGGATGTTTCTCTCCATTTCTTCCTCCCTTTCCCTCTCTAAAAAAGAAAATAAATAAAATCTTTAAAAACCATTGCAAGAGGAATAATTAAACACACAAAAAATTATGTTCTATATGATTCCATTCATATGAAACTCTAGAAAAGTCAAAACTGTAATGACAGAGACCAGGTCAGTGGTTGCCTGGGGCTGGAGCGGGGAAGGAGATGCAGAGGGGCGGGGAGAATGTTGAGGCGGGCGGGAAGGGGGTGGGGGTGGCGTCAACAATGTATGTACTGACCACAGTGCATCCGCCGGCACACTCAACATGGGTGAGTTTTACTGCATGCCAGTAACAATCAAATAAAAATCCTAAGTTAAAAAAAAAAAGCCCTAAAACTTCGCACCTACATCATGGACAAACTTATGAAAACCCATTATCAAAAGAACGCCTTGAAGGCAGCCAGACGCACAACGGACAGAAGGAAGGTGAGAATGACGGCAGACTTCTCCTCAAAGACTCTGTGATGCAGAAGCCAGTCGAGGAAAACCTTTCAAGTACGGAGAGAGAAGAAAAGTCACCCAGAATCCCACAGTCAGTGAAACTATCTTTCCAATGTGAAATGCACTAAAGGCTTTCAGGCAAACGAAAGCTGCGAGCACTCGCTGCCAGGTGACCTGTGCTCAAGGGAGTAGCACAGGAGGGTCTTCAGGCGGGAGGGGCGGGGCAGCAGCATGAAAACGTGGGTCTTCGCAAAAACGAAGGGCATTGAAAATGGCAAAAAGGAACGTAAGTAAGAGTTGTGAAGGTATCTATGAGAAGAACTACAGGCTTCCAGATTGCCAGACAGGTGCGGCAGAGCCGCAGGCACCTGGCCCAACATCGGGGGCGTGGCTTCGCCCCGGTGACCGGTGACCGGTGACCAGCGCTGGCGCGAGGCTCGGCCCTCACCACCCCGGGAGTTAGGGGGGCTGGCACACACTGGCCCCTGCTTTGTGGGAATGGAAACGCAGTCTCGGAGGAAACAGTGACTGTGCTTGCACAAGAAGCCGTGTTAAGTACCGGGCGGGATCGGGCATTTTCTGCCCCGTGATGTTTGACCCAGTCCCCTAGGAATCCGAGAAACAGGCAACACAGATCGTGGAAGCAGCATCGCTGTTGAGCAGTCCCCGGGCGGCACTTCCGACCCGGGGCGAGCACCTGCTCCCCGAGGCCGTTGGGAGGGTCCAGGGAGAGGGCCAGCGGTCCTTCCACGCGGCGGCGAGCGCGCCCCACCGCAGACCCCCGCCCTGCGTGCGCGCGCAGCCGGGGCAGGGGCGGGGCGCCGCGGCGCGTCCGTTGCTAAGGCCGCGCTGCCCCGGGGACCGAGCGACGCGACCCCGCGCACGCGCTGTGGCGGACTCCGGTGCACTGTGGGATGGAAACCCGAGCGGCGCGTACGGGCCAGGGCGGGCGGCGGCTTCGGGGCGAGAGCGGCGGGGACGCGGGGCTTCGGCTCGGCGGGCCGGCGGGGCGCCGCCATGAACGCGGCGGTGGTGAGGCGGACGCAGGAGGCCCTGGGGAAGGTGATTCGGAGGCCGCCGCTGACGGAGAAGCTGCTGAACAAGCCCCCGTTCCGCTACCTGCACGACATCATCACGGAGGTGGGCATTACTGCCGGGGCCGGAGTGCGGGTCGGGGGTCGGGGCCAGTGCGGGGCGTGGGGAGGGCCGCGGCTTAGTTGGGAATCCGGGCCCGGGTTTGGGCCGGGGGCCGGGGGCGGGGTCGCGGCCCGGGTGTGGGTCAGGGTCGAGGATCGGGGGTCTGGGCCTAGGTGTGGGCGGAGATCGGGCCCAGGTTCGGGGTCGGGGGTCGGCACCCAGGTGCAGGTCTGGAAATAGGGCCCCGGCCCGAGTGCGGGCCAGGGTCGAGGTCTGGGCTCCGGGATCGAGGTAGGGGCCTTTGGCCGGGGGCCGGAATGAGGGCTGGCGTCAGGGTCGGGCCTCGCGTGGCTGTGCCCGGTCCCCGTCCCCGGAGTCCCCGCCCGCGGACCCCCGCCTTCGGCTGGCCTGCGGCCTGAGGGGCGACCACGGGCCCAGTCCTTCGGTGTCTCTGCGCCGAACGCCTCGCCCTCACCCCTGTTCCGCCCTTGTCAGCCCCACTCCCGCGGGCCACCTCTTCCAGGGAGTCCCCCGGGCCCTGAGGCAGCAAGCATCGTTTGTTTCCAGCCAGCCCTGGGTCTGTTAGAGCACATCCACGTCTTCCGTTCTACCTGCCGCAGCCGTTGCTGGGATGATTTTTCTGCAGTGCCTGGTGCCCAGAGGCGCTCAGAACTCCCGGGAGGAGGAAGTTATTTTTACCCGCCCCGCCCCCGCCAGGTTTCCCTCCACAGGGCTCTGCACAGTGGTCACCACATACTGGGTGTTTAATAAACACCTGGGGGTGAATTTACTGAAAGTGGCTGTAGGGGGACCTGGGAGGGGGCCCTACAAGAGAGCAGGTTAGTATTTGCCCACAGACAGCTCCGCCTGCCTTGGTTGGGATTGGTTGTCACTTCCCGGCGGGAGGTGAACTGCCGGGTGGCGGAGACTGCAACCTGTTTGTTGGCACATCCCAGGTGAGCTGCACGGCCAGGTGCACGGAAGGTGCTCACAGACAGTCACTGTTACCTGGCGGCTGTCAAGTCCCTGGGTGACTCAGGGGGCCGTGCCCGCCTCCATGGGGCGCCTCGGCCGGCCTCGGAGCTGCGGCCGCAGCTTGAACGTGTGGACTTCCAGGGGCCCCCGACCTCACCCCGTGCTGGTCCCCAAATGCCGTGTCTCACTCTTTGCCGCAGACTGGGTGTCTTCCTCTTCCACGACCTGTGCTTTCTTCATCTGTGCTGTTAGTTTAGAACATGTGTCTCTGTTGAAAACCCTAATTCTGCTCGGAACTCAGTCTGGGCCCCTCCTCCTGCAGCCCCCAGAAGGCCCGCGGCAGCGTGCTGCTTCACCTCTGCCCCCTCTGGCCCAGAGGGCACAGGCCAGTCACCGGGATGGGAGCGGGGCGGGGATAGCCTCACGCTGTCCTGTGTCCATCCCGTCAGGACGGGAGGCGGGGGCCATGCCCCTCCTGTGGGTGCTGGCGGGTCACTGAGCAGGCGTTTTGCTCTCTGCGTCCTCAGATAACAGGTGCGGAGCCTCGTGTGGAAATTCTCTGCGGCTCCGGAGCGTTGTGGTGAAGCTGCCACCTTAGTCCTGTAGCTGCAGCCGGACCGGCTTTGCCTCCTTCTTAAGGCAAAGACTTGGTCTTGTGATGTTCACGTCTGTCCTCATTTAAGATTATCACTCACAATTGTAACTGTCAGCGAACTGGGACCCCTCCAAAGAGACTGAGCCAGGGGCGTGCAGGAACATTAGGTGCAGGGTACTCGGGGTGCGGCGCCTGTGCGCTCAGGAGGGACAGGGCCCGGCGCTGGCACGGCTGGAGGAGGAGGAGAACAGTGTTTGGAGCCCACGGAGCGGGGGCTCGAGGGGCCGTCGATGTTGGCGTGGGGCTGGATTTTAAACTGTGCCTTCCGGTAATAAACACGCTTCACATCCATCCACCCAGGGCACATACAGAGATGCGCTCGTCCTTACTGCACACTGTGCAGTCCGATGCTTTTTTTGTTTCATAAAAAATGCTGTTGTTACCCGTGGTGTTGGTTTTACAGTAACCTGCCGAGTTTGAAAAACGCTGGTCCTGGAGCGCCCAGAGCCCCCCCTCCCTGCCACCCTGGGGGCACAGGTGGGGGGGCACAGGTCGATGGGGGGCCGGGAGGAGAGAACAGGATTGATGTGGCTTGGCCCCCTCCGTCCTGGGGGGGAGGGGCCGGCGAGGGAGGGAGGCCTCCAGTCTAGTGTCAGACCCCAGGCTGGGAAATTCCATTTCTTTCTGGAAGCCGTTCTCTCTCCTGGGCCCGAGTGACCCTCGTAAGACGCTGTCCCCTGCTTTTGAACGTCCCAGGGCCTCCTTGGGGTCCGGTGCTCAGTCCTATTCCTGAATAGCTCCCAGGGCCACCCGGGTGAGGCCCCGCCTGACTCTGGCCTCGGGCTGCTCCTGTCCTCCGGCAGCCTCGGGCCCCTGGAACAGAAGCCTCCTGCCCCGGAGCCTCCGGAACCGAGTGTTCAGCCCGACGGTGCCTGCTCAGCCCCTCCCCCAGCTCTTCCCCTTGGGCCTGCCTCCGGTCTCCCTTCAGACCCGACTGCTGCTGGGCGGAGTTCCCTGACGCCCCTCCCTCTCCTGAGTGGGGCCGGTGCCGACCCCTGCTCCCTCACCACCCTGCAAGTCCCTGTGATGCCACCCGTGCCCACAGCCAAGCTGGGCTTCCGCCTGGTGCGAGGGCTGGCACGTGGGAGACCCACGTCCGTCGAGTGAGAGCCTGAGTTCGGTCCTGGGTGCCGACAGCCCCGGTCAGCCCCAGCGTACGGGGCGCAGCGGCTGCGGCTCAGGGCAAGGCTGTCCCGGGGGGCGCTGACCGGGGCTTCGCTTTCCCTGTTGAAGGTGATTCGGACGACGGGCTTCCTGAAGGGCTTGTACACGGAAGTGGAGATGAAGTCGGAGAACGTGAAGGTGGGTGGGGCCCCGCATGGGGGGCGGGGCTTCCTACGCTGTGCGTGGGGGTGTGTCCCGTTTCCATGCGGGCTGTGGCTGGGCTGCTGGGCTGCGGGGCTCCTTGACGCGCGTGTTGCTGGGTCCTGTCCCATGTTTTCACTTTTGAGAACTGCACTCATACTAGTTTTATGCACTGAGGAATCGGATTGTGTTGCAAAGGGCGGTGCTAGCCCATCCACTGATACCAAAAACTTCAACGAATTGTTTCTGTTTTGTTACATGGAGTCAGTGTTTCTGAATTGGACACGTAAAAAGAGCTTTTTGTGCAAACAGGAGCTGTGCCTATTGAACACACTGCAGTCAACACACTTTTCTTTGAAGTGTCTCACTGTTCGTATTTTAAACGGGAAACTCCCAGGACAAAGACGCGAAGATCGGCTTCCTGCAGAAGGCCATAGACGTGGTGGTCCTGGTCTCCGGCGAGCCGCTGTCGGTGAAGCCGGCGCGCATCGTGGCGGGGCACGAGCCCGAGAGGACCAACGAGCTGCTGCAGAGAATCGGAAGGTGCTGCCTCGGCCAGGTAGCGCTGCGGCCGGCCCTGCCCTGCCCTGCTCGAGCGCGAGGGGCGGTGATCGGGAAGGAGTTCTGGGCAGGGGGTGCCAGATGCTAGGCTTTCGGTCTGATCCCGCCCGTTCTGGAGCCGTGGAGTGAGAGGAAATAGACACCCTGGTTCCACCGGCTTGGGGTGCAGAATGGGGACCCCCCGCACCTGGCTTCGGGGCTGGCGGACGGAGGCGGTGGGCCCCGGTGCCCCAGCCCTGCATTCCTCCTTCCGGGGAGTTCCGACCGGGGCCCAGGGGGCTTCGTCTGGCAGTGGTACGGGACCGCTGGCCTTTCCCCCCACCCCCAGGTTGACTTGGGTGCCCCGGCATGTGCCCGTAGCTCACGGCCATTTGACTGTTGTGTTCGGCCACGCGTCCTCCGCCCCGGGGTAGTGCCTGAGGCTTCAGGGTCACTGGGGCCTCCCTGTGGAGAGCCGGGGCGAGTGCGGGGGGGCTGCACTCCTGCGCGGAGCTGGGCGCTGGCTCCAGGGGGCGCTCGCGCGCTGCCGAGGGGGCCTCTTATTCCCAGGAGCGAGTTCCATCCTCCCCCCGGCCCCGCCCTTTCCTGCTGGCTCTCCGTGACCCCGAGGCAGGAGGAGGCATTCGTGGAGTTGTCCTCGAACAGCGTGCGGCCACGCGTGGGATGTGGGGAGCGTGGGCGGGCGCCATCGTCCCCGCTGCAGGTCCCCGCTGCAGGGCCCCGCGGGTGCCGTGCTCTGTCTGGCGTGACAGCGGGTCCCCCACGCCGCACCCTCCGAGACAAAGAGCCGGGGTCCCGAGCCGCCCTGGATGAGGCCGGTGGTGTCTGTGCCCGGGCTGACCCCACTTCCCCCTGCATGTCCTCCCTCCCGCCGGACGACAAGCTGTCCAGTGACGACGCGGTGAAGAGAGTGCTGGCCGGAGAGAAGGGGGACTCCAGGGGCCGGGCCGCCCTGACGTCGAAACCCCAGGAGTCGGAGGACAGGAACGCGAGGGTCGAGGAGCCCAGGGTCCCCGGCGAGAAGGAGGTGCCCGCGGGGCGGCGGGCTGGGGCGCGGGGCGGCGCGTCCCCCTGTGGTTCCGGCAGAGGGCGCTCGTGAGCGATCCTGGAGCCTGGCCTTCCTTCCCAGGGGAGAGGAGCCTCTGAGTCCAACGAGGGGAGCCCCGGCAGGGACCGCAAGCAGAGGGAGCTGCAGGAGGACAGCAAACCGAGGGAGAAGGACAGGGACAAGGAGAAGACGCGGGACGACGACCGCGAGCGCCATCGGGACCCCGAGAGGGACAGGGGCCGGGAGGGCGAGAGAGAGCGGGCCAGGGCCCGCGCCAGGCCCGACAGGGACAAGGACAGAGGCCCCAGGGACCGGGACTCGGACCGCGAGAGAGAGCGGAGGAGCGAGGGCGGCCGAGAGAAGGAGCGCTGGAGGGACCGGGAGAAGGAGCGCGAGCGCGACAAGGGCCGGGACCGGGAGCGGGAGCGGGACCGGCGGAGGGCGAAGGCCGGGGAGCGCGCCCGGGACCCCGGCAGGGACCGGCACCGGGAGCAGGACAAACCGGACAAGAAGGTGAGTCCCCTCCGAACGCGGGAGCCCCGCCTCCGAGTTGGGGCGGCTCTGTGACTCGGTTTTCGTCCTCAGCAGAGTGTGTCCGGGAACCGGGTCTCCGTGCAGCGCGCTGGGAGAGCGGTCTTTTCAGCGCCGCTTCCGAGCGGCACCGGGAGAGGGCGCAGTGCCGCGCCTGGGGCCGGCGGGGGGCGGGGCGGGGGGCCGGGTTCCTATTCGCTCTGGCCGTGTGGGGGTGTTTTCTGAAGCCTGCGGGGTGCGCCTGTTGTCCTGGGGACAGTGTGCTGTCTCGAGTCCCGGGAAGGAGGGCCCGAGCTTAGCTCGGTGCGGGCGGTGGGCGCCAGGCCGGAGCTGCGCCTTTCCTGCGGCCGCCCTCTGGGGCGTGGCGTGGCGTCTTGGTGCTGCCCGGGGTCCCGGGCCGGCGGGTCGGGCCCCACGGAGCCGTGGGAGCTGCACACAGGGTGTGGACCGTGACTGAGTTTGTGTTTTGGGGGCCTTGGGGCCCCCGCGTCCCCGCCGCGCTGTCCCTTGCACTCGCTGCTGGCCTGCCGCGTGTTTGGTGGAGACGCCGTTGTGAAGCCCGGCTGTACTCGTGGATGCGGGGCCTGTTGGAGCCACGTGGGGGCGCGGTTTCGTGTGCACGGGCGTGAGGCCAGGGTGGGGGCGGTCCCTGCTCGGAGCTGGGCCGCCAGGGGGAGACACATACCAGCTTCGACCTCTCTGTGTCGCTGCCTGGGGGGCGCGAGCGTCCCTCCACTCGCTTGCACCTGCCCGCCAAGAAGCTGGCCTGCCCGGCCTCTCTCCGGGGCTGGCAGAGAGAGGGCCATGTGGTGGGTGTGGGTGCGCTCTGAGAGGCCAGCGGGGTGATACGCGTGTGGGGTGAGCGACCCAGCTGTCTGTGGGCACGGGGCCCTTTCCCCTCTGAGCGGACAGCCAGGTGCCCGGCGCTGGGCAGCCCCTGTGGGGCACCGCTGTGGACGCCGCGGCCAGGACGCTCAGGGTGGGGCACCAAGCGGGCACCCGCGCCCTCTGCCCTCACGGGGGGTAGCTCCTCGCCTGTGTCTCCCCTCCTGGCAGCGACGTGCGTCTGTCTCTCGGGGAACTGGGGCCAGCCGTAGGGGTGGGGGCGGGGGGCGGTGCGGCAGCTTTCCCGTGCCTTGTCCCGAGAGTGCCGTCCGGCCGTGCTGTCCGGGCTGTTGCTCCAAGGTGCCGGACCTCAGAAAGGGGCCGCCCCCTGAGCGGGGTGGGAGCGGCGGGTGCTGGGCCTCTGCAGCTCTCCCTCCACGGTGCCACAGTCCCGTCCCCGTCCCCCCCCCTCCCGCCCCCGTCCTGCTGGGGTGTTCCCGAGAGGTTTGGCCTCATGGCCCGGCCGAGAGGTGCCGCCTGCGAGCACTCGCACCGGTCCCTGCTGCCCTGGGCGGCCGCGCCCGGGAGGCCCTGAGGGGTCCCGGCAGCCCACGGCCCGAGCCGGCTCGGACTGGGACGCGGGCAGGACGTCTCGCCGTCGGTCAGCCACAGACAGCGTGCGTCTGAGTGTCTTCTCAGAGGTGGCGGGTTTGAGTAATTCTAGAATTCGAAGGCAAGTAAAGCATCTTTTACAGTCGTCGAGCTCCGGGGAGGTGTCTAAGAAGCTGTCAGATGGACCGTTCAAAGACTCCAAAGCTGAAGCCGAGGTGAGCCCCAGAGAGCGCCTGTCCGAGGTGCAGGCCTGCAGGTTGCAACTTGCCTTTCGGGGAGGTGCGCCGGCCGCCACAGGGGAGACGGACCAGGCGTGGGGTGGCGTGGAGACCCCCGGCCCTGAGGGCCATGGCGAGGCCGGAGCTGCCAGGGTGGGGCATGGGACGGGCTGTGTCCCCCCACTGGCGCTCACAGCTGTCTGCGGGTGCGGTTGGGTGTGTAGGGCGGCAGTCGGGTCAAGTGCGCTTGGCAGGTTGCTGCCGCTTCCCAGCCCTACAGAAGGACAGAGTCCTGACCTGAGAGTCAGAGTGCGTTCAGCCGCCCTCTGACCCCTCCTCAGGCGCCCCTGGTGCGCCCCGAGTTGGTGTGGGTCCCCCCCCAAGAGTGTGGGTGGCCTCCTCCTGTTCCCTCGCCTCCCTCGAGCGGCGCTCAGCTCGTGCCTCTGCCTGCGGCATCTGTGGGTGAGGTGCCAGCTGACTCTCCTTCTCTCTCTCCCCCACCCCAGACAGAGGCCTCCCCCAGAGGGCCCGGGCCCGTGGCGGCGAAGACCTCCAGGCGGCGCTCCAGAACCTCGGGGGAAGGTACGGCTGCGGGGGGGCGCGGGGGGCTGCTCTGCTTTGCCGGCGTCCCGGCGTCTAGTGGGGAAGCACCCCTGCCGCTCAGAGCCAGACCTGCCGGGCGGGGGCGGTGGTGAGCGGGGGCTGTGACGGCGGTGACCCCACTGTGTGGCTCTTGCTCGCCTGTGAGCTCGGGGCACCGGGGCGGAGGGGCACCCTGCTGGGGTCTGTGTAGCAACCTGCAAGATGCGCTCAGACTTTAGTTTTTGAGAAACTTGTGTCACTGGAACGTCACCCACGTTCAGGACGGGCACGAGAAGCCTCCTGCTCCGAGACAGCTGGTGTCTGTGCAGCGGTTGTCCCTGGGGGTCACACTGGCACTGGGGACAGGCCTGCCGGGGGGCTTGCCCACGGACACACCCAGTGGGAGAGGCAGCCAGGGCGGCGAGGGGCGGTGCTGCCTGGAGCAGCGGCAGGGTCTGAAGGGGCGTCCTTTCCCCGAGCCGAGCGGGTTGAAGCGTGGCAAGCACACGATCTCCGGAGTTTTCTGTAGAAAGGAGACTTGGGGGGTGCGCCCCTCTCCCACCGAGACACTCAGGTCTTCAGTGAACACGCCTGTGTCCGTGGGGGGGCCCTCGCCGCCCTCCCGGGGACCTCACCCCGACCCGCAGGCCTTCCCGTCCGCCGAGGACACCGGCCAGGTCTCTGAGAAGTGTGTGTGTCTGCGCTGTTCACGCTCATTTCTGTTGATTCCGTCTGGTTTCCGGCTGCCCGAGGGTTTCCTTTTTGTGCACCGGAGGCTGCCGGTCTTCACTTCATTTTACTTCTGTCGTGGTTTATCTGCAGATTTGAGGGGTGAAGATCTGTGTTCTGTCGTGCACTTTTAGATTCAATTGTGTTAGTTATCTCCTATTTTAAATCTTGGAAGGTGGGTCGGTGTGAGGTGTTTCTGTGAATACTTCTGAGACGCCATCAGGTGTGTCCCGGGAAAGGGACGGTTTCCCGACTTCATTCCTGCCTCCCAGACCCCCCCCCGACCCCCATGGCAGTGGAGGGGGTGTCCAGCGGGCTGTGCCGCCCCAGCCCAGGGCCCGCCGCCGTCCAGAGTCCAAGCCTCCGGCGCCTCCTGCCCCGCTGGTTCTCAGCAGGGAAAGTGTCTCACACACACTTGACTCTCTTCTCTGGTTTGGGGGTGCTGGCCCATCAGCCGGTCAGTGGTGGTGACCAGGTGTCTGGGGCTTTTGAGGTGCTGGCCCGTGCGCCCCTTCCTTGCCCCTGAAGTCACTGCCTGTTTGCGCCTCTCGGCCTCCGGGCCGGCGGCAGTGGGAGGCGGTCCTGGAAACGGGGTGCGGGGCTAGTCTGCCTTGGCTGGGGGGCCAGGCCTCCGCCTGCAGGCAGCACTCCACCCCTCCGGGCCCCAGAGCCCCACCGGGGACTGATCTTGGAGCCCGTTCTGGAAGGCCGCCTCTGCTGTGTCCGCTGTGGGCCGAGGGCCACCCCCGGGAGGGGGGCTCCGCGCTGAGGCCGAGGCCACCAGCCCGCCGGGCGCAGCCTGACCCGCCCGTTCTGAACCGTTTCCGTCAGGACCCAAGGAGGCCGCTGCCAGCTCCGCTCGCATTGCCGACGGCAGCGCCGCCGGCCTGTGGCGGGACCGCCCCGAGCCAGAACCGGCAGCGAAGCAGAAAGGTGAGGGCCCCCTTTCACTCCTTTCCTGGGGGAGGCCGAGCCCCCGACTTAACGCTGTCCGTGGGCCCCTCCCTCCTTGGGGTCCCGCCGGCGCTGTCTCTGGGCGCTGTCTTCGGGCCCATTCCCTGTCACTGTGCGCTGATGGTCACGGGCGCCGTCTCCGTGCCGGCTCCACCCTCCGCACGCAGCTGGGCCGTAGGGGCGGGAGCGGAGCTGTGAGCGCGGGCCGCGGTCTGCGCCGGGACTGTCCTGCGCGTCCCGCCGGCCGAGGCGAGGAGGAGGACGAGAATCGCTGATGCGCGCTTTGTCTCTCGCAGGCGACTCCCCGAGCAACGCAGGTGAGGGGCGGCCGTGGTGCCCACGCGGTGAGAAGTGCACGTCTGTGCGTGTATGTGCAGGCGTGTGCGTGTGCGCCCTGGTGTGTGCGCGCCCTGGTGCGTGTGTGGCAGACTGGGTCAGCGAGACAGCGTCACGACGCCACTTGAAGATTTAATTTACATTCTCTTTGTGCTGAGAGAATACATTTCAGGTTTTTCCCCCCCGGGGGACAAAGGACATTTTCAGTAGCCAGATTCTGATGGGTTTTCACTATTTTCTGAAGTTTGAAACCCTTTCACTTTAAATAGTGGAGCGGAGCCTTAATTGCCTTAATAACGGCTTGGACTTACTTACTTTTATTAAGTCTCTTCTTACCAAAGAGAAGAAACTGCGGCCGGTTCATAGACACAGCGGGGCTCGCCCCCAGAGCGCCCCCTGTGGGAAGCGCACACGGGGAGCGGGGACGCAGGGCCCTGACCGCCCTCTGGCGCCCCCGTGTGTCCGCGCGGGGACTAGGCCTGGGACGGGCGCCGCCGCTCCCGGGGAGAGGATGGCAGAGGACGACGGCTTGGCGACGCCGCGTCCCCTCCGTTCCTGTCGTCCTCGCCGGTGTTGACCGGGGAGCTCTGGGCACGCGGCTCTTTCCTTTAAGTTACGTGGCTGGCCCCGCGGCCCCGCCGTCTGAGTTTTCTTCCCCGAGACGCGAGCCCCTCGCGGTCCCCAGACTCAGCTCCGAGCGTCCTCCCCGGAGCCACAGGCGAGGGACGCCCCTGTGTGCCCGTGGCTTGGGTGGTCGCCGCCTTCCCCAGTGTGTGTCTGTCGTGCGTGTTCTCTCTCCTTTGCCAACTGGCCGGGGCGCCATCCCTGCAGAAGGACACGTGGGACCCGCCAGTCAGGACAAGCCCCAGGGGCCCGAAGATTCCGAGGTCCCCGCCGACCTCCCGCCCGACGCCAGGTACGCGCCCGCCCCCGCTCGCCCCGCCCCCCAACCAGTCCCTCTGCTGCCGCGGTTTCGGTGCGCTGCGCCGGGCTCTGCGGCAGCGTGTGTGCGAAGAGGCGCTCACGCGCGCGTTCTGGGGTCCCACTGTCTGCTCCAGAAGGCTCCCGCGGCCCGGGAGCGCCAGGCCGGCGCCGCCCCGGGTGAAGCGGCAGGACAGCGCGGAGGTGTTGGCGGCCGACAGGTGAGTCGGGCTCGGACCCGGCAGGGGCTCCTCCAGGTGGGTAGGGCCCCGGGGTGGCTGGGAGTCGGCGCGTGCTGGGGAAGGGTGCCTTCGTGAGAAAGCACGCTGGGTGAGGCCCTGGCCTGGAACCGCACCGGCCTCGGGTTTCAGATCGGTGAGCGCCCTGGCCCCTGGCGTTTGTGCGCGTCCAGGAAGCCTTGAAAATACGTGGGGAAGGGGCGGGGCGCCGTGCTCTGACCTCCAGATAGAGGGTTTTCGGAGCATAAAAACGAGGGGGAATTAAAGGCTGATTGCGCGGAAAGGAAAACCAAGCGCAGTGAGCAGGTCACAGACGGGGACGCAGGGCCTTGACGGTGCGGCCGGTCAGCAGGCTGGGCCGGCGGGTTCCGGGCGGAGCCGGAGGCCTCGGGCTCCACTGCAGAGACAAAGGGGAGCAGCGGGGAGGAAGGCCGGGACGAGGGGCGTCCCCAGCTCCCGTTTTCCAGAGGAGGGAGCGAGCACACCTGGGTGGCAGTGGCCAGAGGCGCAGATGTGGAGCGGTGGGAGCAGCAGGCTGGGGGCCTGGGGGCAGAGTCCCTGATGGGGCGGGGGGTGCGTGTGCAGCCCCGTGGGAGGAGACTCCGGGAGGGGTGTCTTGTCTGGGCTTCATGCTCCTGTGCCAGCAGCCGGTCTGGGGAGGCGGGAGGCGGCTGAAGCCGGTCTCCACAAGAGGGGGCTGGTGGCACGCTGGCACCGGGGTTCTCATCTGGGGGCCACCCCCACCCCCGACCCCCGGAATGTTGAGGACAGTGGAGCCATGTGTGGAGATGGAGCATCGTGACTGGGGAGGAGGCGGGGGGGTGGGGGGGTGGGGGGGAGGTTCTTGGCATGCAGTTTGCGGGGTTGGGGCCAGGGGTGCCACCGCCCACGGAGAGCGACCGTCCTCCCGGAGAGCAGGCAGGGGTGGGGGGACCCTCGGAGAAGGCGGTGAGGCCGGAGAGGCCTGCTGAGGAGGGAGGGCTGTGGGGAGGGCCAGGAGCGGGGACGGTGGGTTGTGGTCCGCAGTATGGGGTGCAGAGTGTGAGGGGTGCGGGGCGAGGTGACGTTGGTCCTGGGAGAGGCGGGCCTCCGGGCAAGGTGATGATGGACTGAGGGTGCGTGAGAGCTCGTGACCCGGTGCCCTGCGCTGAAACATGGGAGTGGCTCGGGGTGTGCACGCGCGTGTGAGTGTGTGTGTGTCGCCAGGCTGACAGTGGGGCAGGGATGTGGAGGGCATTCGTGGAAGTGGGGAGCGGGTGGGAGGAAATGAAGGTGGGGGGTCCCCGAGAGGGAGGCGCAGCTGCTGGGCCGGGGGCGTGGCCGGGCCGGGGGCGTGGCCAAGGCTGCAGTGTGGTGGAGGCAGTGCCCGTGCTGGGGACGCTGGCTTGGCCTGCAGGGTGACGGTGGGCGGGGCAGTCCCAGCGGGAGCTCACTGGGGGTCTGAGAGAGCTCTGGGTTGGAGGGCCGGGTTGTGGGCTGGTGGCCCAGAGCAAAGGCAGGACCTGGTGGGCAGCAGGGGTGGGGTATGGGTGCTGGGCAGGGACGCAGCTCAGGGCACGGACTGGGGGTCAGCGGAAGGGCCCTGAGGACGCTGCTGTTCCCAAGTGGCACTGAGGAGCAGAGGGCTGGCGGGCCACCCTTGTCGTGACGCTTATGCCTGCCGTGGGAGGGCGGGCCCTCATGTGAGGGGTGACAAGGGACAGCAGGGTCTCCCTGAGAGGCGGCCAGGGGAGGGGCAGGTCCGGGTGTGGACAGGCAGGGCGCACCTGCGCACCTGGGATGGGAGGGGCTGGCAGAGGGCGGGGCTTCGGCTTGGGTCCAGGGGCTTCGCTCAGCGCCCCCCGACCTCCCCCGCAGACGCGGGGGCAGAGGGAAACGTCCCCTCGTGGCATTTCTGACCTGCTCTGACGCCCTTCTGCGCAGGACCGGGAGCGGTAAGGCCGTGTCCAGCGTGATCGTGGACGCCCAGCACTCGGACGACGAGGACGACCAGTTCGTGGTGGAGGCGGCACCCCAGCTGCCCGAGGCGCCGGAGCGCGAAGGGGTCAGTGCGCCGGCCTGGGGGAGGCGTGGCTGCCCTCACACCGGGTGCCCAGGTGCCCGTGGACGATTCCCTCCGTTTCTTGGTCGGTTCCCGCCCTCTCTGACCTCGTCTGTACTCCAGCACGCTCTTCGGGAGCAGGGTTTGGGGGACTCGGCAAACCCGGGTCCCCCCTCTTCTCCCTCCCTTCCCCGCGCAGGCGCAAGCCGTGGAGCTGGGCGAGGACGAGAGGCACGGTGAGTCCCAGGTGTGGGGAGCGCGGCAGGGTGGGCTGGGCGGGCCCGGGCTCCGCGGGCTCTCTGTGCCGGGAACCTGGGGGACCTGCGGGCACCCCGAACCCTGGGGCCAGCCCTGAGCTCTGCCTGGGGGACCCCTGTTCTTAGCGTGTGGTTACTGGGTTGCGCAGAGTCGCAGGGCGTCCCCAGAGCAGCCACCTGGCCGCCCGTGTGCTCTCGTCCCCACACACCTGCCTTTCCTCATGCATGTCACCCCAGGGTGGGGGTCCTCAGAGGCTGCTCAGAAGCAGTTCCTCAGTTCTCGTGCTGTTCGTAACTGTTTCACATGCTCATCTGCATTTCTTCTAAACTTTTGGAAATGGAAAATCTATTTTATTTCTAAAGTTTTTTTTTTAAGATTTTACTTATTTATTTTTAGAGAGAGGGAGAGAAACATCACTATGTGGTTGTCTCTCATGCGCCCCCACTGGGGACATGGCCGGCAATCCAGGCATGTGTCCTGACTGGGAACCGAACCAGCAACCCTTGGGTTCACAGGCCTGTGCTCAGTCCACTGAGCTACACCAGCCAGGGCTAAAGTTTTTGTTTGTGTTTTTTTCACCTTTCACGGAGCTGGTTTCTCTGAAGCTCTGTGAAACGGTGGAGTTGGTTTCCAGCAGCAGCGGCTGTGTCAGCCTGCTGTGGGCTGTCCGTGATCAAGCAAAGGTGCTGGGCGCCGTCTTCAGGGTGGGGGAGGCGGACTGGGGGCTCGGTGTGCTCCCCGGCCCTCCGGCTGCCCGGGGCGGAGCTCAGCGGGAACCTGAAGCCGCTGCTTTTCCGCAGGAGGACTGGTCACAAAGATTCTGGAGACCAAGAAGGATTACGAGAAGCTGCGGCTGCCCCCCAGACCTGGGGAGAAGGTGAGGTTCTGTCCGCGGCCGCCGGCACCTCTGCGCTCTGTCACTCAGGCTCTCGCTGAAGCCTCGGGCGCGCCTCTTGGTGCTGTGATGGGTGGCGTCTGTGCGTGATTCAGGGTGGCGCCCCCTCAGTGGGGGGACAGACACTCTCGGAGTCCCCTTACCTCCCTGGACCCCGCGTCGGCCCTGTCCCACGTGGGCAGCAGCCTCATTCAGCCTCACTCAGGGACTCAGGGGCCCTGAGTCCACGCCAGGGCCTGCCCTGCGCTGACCCCGAGACCCCCATTTCCCAGTACGTGGAGTCAGCCGTCCCCCGCCCCAGCTGGTTGCAGAGTGAGGGGTGGGGCTTTCTAGTCGGGCTCTTACACTCGAGCTCTTGGCCCCTGGCCTCCCCGAGTCTCTCTCTCCCGTGTGGGATGTGGTCTTACTGGGCCCTGGGCCCCCTGCCGGCGCTGCCCCTGGGCGTGGGACCCTGTGGGGGCAGCTGCGGGCCGGGCGGCCTGACAGTAAGTGCTTGCTGTGGGCTTTCAACAGACAGTGGTTTCCTGCGCGTTTCCTGCACATGTGTCCACTCGCTGGCTGTCTGTTGTGTCCGTCTCGCTCCCGGTCGCCTGCTGTGTCCTGGGGCCCGGCCTGGCATACCCCCTGGCATACCCGAGGGGGCAGTGTCCTGGGTCAGGGGCCTCCTCACAGGCGCAGGGTCGCCGCTGTCCCTGGCTGTGCGTCTGCAGCCCTGGGGCGGCCGTCGGGGCCCCCCCCGGGGCTGTGTCTGTGGGCGCCCTTTGAAGCCTCGGTTGGTTTCAATTTTGCGGCCCTGATTTTTATGCAGAGCACACCAGGCCGTGTTTCAGAGTTCCTCTGAAGAGTGCGTTTCAGAGGACTGGGGCTTTTGACTCGGGAAGATAAAAGAGGGAAAAGCGCACTTACTGCTGGAGAGAGGCAGCCCCATAAGTGTTTCCAGGCGGGGGGCGGGTCTGGGGGAGGGGCGGGGCGCGTCTCGGCGCCGCTTTCCTCCGCGGGTCGGTAAACCCCAGGTTTGCATCTCACCTACTGGTCTTCTGAAAATCCTCGATTGTTTTTTAATAGGAGAAATTGAGATGGGCAGGAGATGTTGCAGTCATTCCTGTCCGGGCCCCGCCCCCCTGTCCCCAGCAGCCCGCCCCTGCGCACAGTGCCCCGGCTGCTGCGCGCCTGGCGCTGCGCCGGGAGGTCCCGTGCCCCCTGTGGCTGGGGGGGTCCCTTTCTCCAGGCAGCATGTTGCCCCTGAGACCCTCGCGTTTTGACACTGCAGCTCTGTCTGTTCGTTTTAATCGGTGGCTCTTTGTTTATTAATTCCTTTACTGACGGACGTTCAGGCTCCTCCCGCCGTTCGCTGCAGCGTCCACGCTTCTGCGGGCGCCGTCCGTGGCTGCCGGCACACGGGAGCGCTCTGTCCAGGGCAGGTGGCGAGCGTGGCCGGCTCGGAGCCGGGCCGTCTCCGGCGCGGACAGCAGTGGGGCGTGTGCGGGCTGTGCTCTGAGGACGCGGTGTTCCCCACAGGACCCAGCCGGGGGCTGTCGCCTGCCACCCCTTCCCCAGCGGCTGCTGAGTGCTCTGTGCGGCGGCTGCACCGTTTCCTCTCCCTGTGGGTGAAAGTCAGCACAGATGCGTGCCAGTCACGGTCAAGGCAGGGTCACGCCCATCACCCTCCAAAGTGGCCTGTGCCCCCAGAATCCCTTCCGCCCTCCTCTCTCCGTGCCCCGCCCCCACCCCTGCAGCCCCTCGCCCCGCTGCGCCTCTGCCCTCTAGCGTGCGTTCCTGAGAACTGCGTCTGCGTGGCGGCGTGCGGTGATGCGAGCACTTGCTTGCGGGCTGGCTGCCGTGCGTCCCGCCTGTTCGGAGGCGTCTCCGTGAGCAGCGCGGACCGGGCCGGTTCCTTGCTCTGCTGAGCTGCCGTCCTGGTGCCGGCGGACCGCAGTGCGCTCATCCGCTCACTAGCCAGGGCGCCGCTGGGCGGCTAGTGCTTGGGACTCTCGGAGCGCGGCTGCGGCGGGCGCGCGGACCGCCCACGGGGCGGGCGGACACTTCCGCCGCCAGGAGGGCTGCGGGGTCCGAGGGCAGACGTGTGTCCGCCGCGGCGGGAGACGTCAGCTGTTCTCCTAAAGGTTCCCGCATTTCACTGGGTCGGCCGGAGGGTCCCTTTGGTTTCATCCCTGCACCTTGGCTCTGTGGCACTCAGCTGTCTTCAACTTCACTGGAAACAGTTGTGTTGGATGTATTGTGGCAGCTGTCATGTCAGTGTGCATTTAGAAACCTTATCAAAATGGGTAAGTTGTTGTGCAGCCATTTTACTACTGACGATGGAAGAAAACGCACAACTTTTCAGTGTATTGTGCTTTGTTGTTTCAAGAAAGGTAAAAATGCAACTGAAACATGAAAAAAAAGATCTGTGCCGTGGGTGGAGAACGCGCTGTGACGGATCGAACGCGTCAGAGGCGGTTCGCGCGGTTTGGTGCCGAGATTTCCCGCTGGACAGTCGGGTGGACCCGCCGAAGTCCACGGCGATCGCATCGAGACAGTCATGGAGAACAACCAACATTCTACCACATGGGAGACAGCCAACATACTCAGAATATCCAAATGAATGAAGTTATTGGTGAAAATGAAAAACGTGTCTTTCATTTTACGGAAAAAACTGATCAGACGTTTTGGCTGGCCCAGTTCTCTCCGGCCAGCAGCATGGGAAGGCCCTGGCCCCTCCGCCCGCATCCTCAGCCTTCGCGGTTTGTGGGGTGTTGTTACCGTGCGTCTCCCGGCAGCTCCGCCCGGCCTGTCCTCGCGGCCCCTCCGCCGCGCGCTCGGTGCTGCTGGGCGTTCCGGAGGCTGCCGGCCCGCCGGCTGCTTGTCTGGAAGCCGCCCTTTCTGCCCTCTTCTGGGGGCGGTGCCCCCTCCCTGTTTCTTTCTCTCTGAGTGTCTTTTTGGCAATTAATACGTGAATCGGTCAGGATTGTGTTTAGCTGCGAGGGAAGGAGAGACCTGGAACCGTAGTGGCTCCCACGCAGCAGGGAGTGCTTTGGCTCGCGTGTTGCCCTCGGCGGTGTCCTCATACCTCCCCTCCGCTCTGCGGCTGGTCCGCCGGCAGGAGGGCGGGGCCGGGGGCCGGGGCAGGGCCCGCCCCTCCTCTTTCAGGCTGTCTGCTGGGGGCTGTGCACACCCCCTCCAGGCCCTGGTCACCGAGGGAACCGGGAGGTCAATCTTCATTCTGGGCATCACTGGCCCAGCGATCAGTCGAGTTCCTTGATCCCAGGCTGGAACTTGCCAGATTTTTCCCGCGGCCTGGCAAGCTCAGAAAACGGCGATGTCGGCGCGGCACGTGGGTGAGCGGAGGAGCTGCCCACCGCTGGGTGCTGCGGTCTCTGGACCCCGCGAGTCTGCTGCGTGTGGGCCGCCCTCAGCGGCGGGGGGCTCCAGCGAGCAGAAACGGCGGCCAGCAGCCTCTCCGCAGCGTTTCTCTGGGAAACAGTTCATCGCATCCACGTTTTACGAGGTCACGGCGTGACGACGTTCGAAGTCCACTTTCTGATTTTAAAAATACATCGTGGCTGCGGTTTTCCTTTCCTGTCAGAAGTGCCATCTTTTCTTTACCCTCGGTGACACTTTTTAAAAACTGTTGAAATAGACACCCTCTAGGAAGGAGTCAACTTTTGGTTTTGTAGATGATCACTTTCGTGTTGCTTTAATTTCATTGGTTTCTACTCTTTATTTTTCCTTTTGATTTCTTTAGGTGTTCACTTTTCCTAGCTTCTTGTGTAAAGCTCATTAACTCATTTATTTTTAGTCTGCCATTTTAAAAATTAACATATTTAAGACTACATTTTAAGCATGCTTTGTGCGTGAATTTTAAATTCCTTGAATAAGAAGTTAATATTAAATATTAAAACTTTTTGAATTTTAATGTAAAATTCTTTGTTACTTCTTTTAAACGTGTGGGCCACTTAGGTTTCGGTTCGTCAGCTTTCAGATCAAAGGGTCTTGAAGAGCCTCCTTACTGACACTGCGCAGTGTGGCCGCACGTGCAAGCAGCGCGGTGCCCGCGATTCCGACTGCCCGGGAGCGAGCCTGTCCTCGCGGCCCCGCTGCGCTCGCGTCTGCGCGCGCTCCAGCGGCACGCAGGGCGTCTCCGCTCCCTGCGCCCCGCCCACGTCCCCGGGAGGCGGCTGTCACGTACCGAAGAAAAGGCCCCTCGAGCCTGCCTCTTACCATCGGTTTGCACAAATCAGCGTTAACATCGGCGGCTGATCTTCTCGCCGCCTCGCCTGGGCATTCAGAGAGAGGGGGTGTTCTCTCTGCTCTTCACCTGAGCCAAGGTGGAGTGCTGCGGTCTCGGTGCCTCTCCCTTCTCAGAGGGAGCCTTTGTGTCAGCGCCGCCGGGGACACGCAGGTCGTACGTAGCCCGGGCGCCTCTCCGGCCTGCCTTTGAAGTCGCGCCGGGAGGAGAGCCCTTTCTCGTTGCGCTGGGGCTGCATCATGCGTTTCAGAGCAAACATGTGACTCGGGCTCCCCGAGCCGTTTCTGATTATCCCGGCCCATTTGTTCTCCTTTCAAGAGGAAATATTAAACTTTGTTAATGGTAAGGTATTAGCTCATGCCAACATTTTTTCCCTTCAGATTTATGAAGTTTTTAAAAAACAACCAGAAAAGCACTTTTATTAGTGTTCCTTGTGCTTTAAAAGTACTTGCTCTCTAACCGTTGCACGTGAAGGAGCTTCAGAGTGATGGGGGCAGTGTCCCTGGCGGGTCACTCCCTGCGAGGGGCTGCGAGGGTCCCCGTCCCCCGGTTCACTGGCTCCTCCCTCCCTCCTCCTCCTCGCCTTCCCGCTCTCCGTCCCGGACGGTCCGTTCCGACTGAACGTGAACTTCAGACACCAGCCCTGCCTGTGCGAGTTCGTGCTTTCCAAGCGGACGGGGGAGTTTCCCTCCGTAGGTGTCTCCGTCCTCCTGTTTCTGTCCGTTTCTGCGGTTTCACTGCCCAGTTTCTGCGGTTTCACTGCCCACCGCGTTGGTGCTGGGGGCCCCGCCCCCCTTCAGGTGAGAGCGCGAGGGTGTGCACACGGGTCCACCCGCACACGCCCGTCTCGCCCCGTCTCCGTGGGGAGGGCCCGGGCGGTGGCCGCGGTGGCCTTGCCGGCGACGGGGTGACTGTTTTCAGGAGGCGTCGGCCAGGGACCGGAACAGCATGCTGTCTGTTAAAATGTCTCTTCGTGGATAAGATGATCTTACCACAACCGTGTTCCATTTTAATTATAATAATTAGCGTATAGCAAACAGCAGCTAAATTCTTATGGAAGTCAGGGATTTCGGTCTTACTTACTCTCCTGTATTTGGTTGATTTAAGTCGACCCTTAAATTACTTCTTATTTCGGTAGCTAGATGGTGCAGTTTCAACACAAATACTTCAGCCGTGTTGGAAAAATGCGATTCGGAGCTCGTGCTTCTCTGACTTCCGCGCCTGATCGGAGTGGTTCTGGTCTGGGCGTTTGTGGTCCCCGCGTCGGAGGGAAAGGGGCAGATGCTGCGATGCTTCTTCACCAGCGACGCCGGGAAAGCTACCTGGGGCCCACTGGCTGATGTTAGTACTAAAAAGTTGTTGTTGTTGTCGTTATTATTTTAGGAAATAAGGTGATGGTTTGATGTTCCCAAGTCGTGCAGTCTCTTCCAAGACACACAAGTCGGGGTTTTGTTTTTTTTTTAAACTATTTTTTTTAAAGATTTTACTTATCCATTTTTAGAGTGGGAAGGGAGGGAGAAAGAGAGAGAGAGAGAGAGAAACATCAATGTGCGGTTGCTGGGGGTCATGGCCTGCAACCCAGGCATGTGCTCTGACTGGGAATCGAACCTGCGACGCTTTGGTTCGCAGCCCGTGCTCAATCCACTGAGCTACGCCAACCAGGGCTACAAGTCGAGTTTTGAGTTTTGGGTGTGAAATTGTCACCAGCAAGTTGGCCACAGTTCCACTCAGAAACATCTACACCGCTGTGCCGTGGGTCTGTCACATGCGCGCAGACAAAGGTGGTGATGCGGAGGGAACATCAGAGCTCTCTCTAAAAATTTATTTACTTGTTTTAGAGGTGGGGGAGCACGAGAGGGAGAGAAACTCAGTGTGTGGCTGCCTCTCACACGCCCCCTACTCGGGGACCCGGCCCGCCACCCAGGCCTGTGTCCTGACTGGGAATCATACCACCGACCCCTTGGGTCGTAGGCCGGCACTCAGTCCGCTGAGCCACACCAGCCAGGGCAAAAACATCAGAGTACTTCTACCTGAAAAAAAAACCCCAAAAACCATTTGACTTAAGGAAATTGGTGCCGCGCGGTGTCCGTCGGAGGGGCTGCTTGTGAGCCGGGGAAGAGCGGCACTCGGAACGGGGCCGCCAGGTCCGGCCACGCAGGGACCTCCGGCAGACTGGGGGGCGGGGGCGGGCCGTGCGACCCTGTCAAGGTCATCTGGGGGTCGCAGCTAGCACCAGGAAAAGAGAGGTTTGGTCTGGTGGGGGCGGGGGTCACCGTGTTGGAAGGTGCCGGCAGCCTGCGGGGTCCGTCAGCCCCAGGAGTGAGACCTGTCCGCAGGAGGGGGTGGGCGACCCGGGAGCCGTGGCTCCGCAGAGGCCGGCGGCCGGCCGGCAGCGGTGGGGACAGCGCTCCCCTGCACAGCTGGGACACGCGTGTGAGTGCGCGCTCCATGCGTGCCTCTGACAGGACGCTTCTGGTAACTGGGTGGAGAAGCCCAGGAGTTTTCCAAGAAACAGAGACGGTCTGGAGAAAACCAAGACATTGTGGTCCTGGTCAGGAAGCTCAGCACTGTAGCTGCGTCCTGTCCCTGGGACTCACTCACAAATTCGGTGCCATCCTAGCAAATACTCAGTGCGGGCTCTGGAACTTGGCAAAGAATGTTCTGAAGTTCCTCCGGAAGGTAAATACAGGAGAACAGCGCTTCATAAAAATGCCTGAAGAAGCCAATGTCAGGCCAGCAATGCCACGTCCTTAACTTACTAACGACTGTGGGTGGAGAGGGGAGCGCTTCGGCCGAGAGCGTGCGCCCTGCGCGTCCCCGCCGCCTGCCGCGGCGCCAGTGTCGGCTGTGGTCGGTTCTCTGTGTGATGGGACGGCTGTGAAATTGTGTCCTTTTCTCGGGTCAGCGCGAGAGGGCGGCCCAACTCCCGTCCTCTCTGTGCTGCGCGCTGACCTTTGCCTCGGCCATAGTGACCCCGGGGCGCACGCCAGCCTCCGCACGCTCGCCCCCCCCCTCCCCCCCGGCTGCCCAGGCAGCTCTCGGGCCCTCTCCGGGGCGGCGCCGTTTGTCCGGCCGCTGACTTTGCAGAACCCACACCGGCCGCTCGGAGGCGCCTCCTCTGCCGTTCTTCTCCGGGAGGAGCCCGCCGATCGGTTCTCTGTCTGCCGTGGCTCCATGAGCAGGCGGTGCCCCCGGGGAGGCGGTTCGCGTGTCCTCCCGTGGGCTCCTGACCGGCACCGTCGCACGGTGGAGGCCACGGGACCGGGTGTGCTTCCCCCGAGTGCGGATCAGACGCTGCGCCGGGGGCCGCCTGGATGTCCGCTGGGGTGTGGTCCTTCGGAAACTGTTCAAGGTCGTGCCCGTGGCTGAGGTGGGCGTGCCCTCCCGCCCCACAGGACCCTCCTGGGGCCGCGTCCTGGCACGCGCGTGAGGTGGTCTGGAGCCGCGTTGTGTGCGAGAGCCGCAGAGCAGGAGCGGCCCCTCCAGCGCGGGGTGGGGGCGGGGTGGGGGCGCTGCGCTCTGCGTGGGCCGTTCCCACCGGCAGCGCGGCTTCCCTCCGCCTTCCCCCGACAGCGAGGACGCTGGGCGTCGCTTCCTGGGCGCCTCCCTTGCGGGGGCGGGGCGGGGGGGGTTGGTCCCTGCCTTTTGTCCGTTTTCTGACCGGATACTTTGCTTTTTGGCTATTAAGTTTTGGGAGTCTGTGTGTTCTCGACACTAGTTCTCCGTCTGCTGTCCGGTCTGAACCTTCTCACTCTCTGACTCGTCTCCCCTCCGCCCGACGGGGTCTCTGGCACGGCTGGGCCGAGGTTTAGTTTCCGTAGAGGCCCCGGTAGTGGGTTTTCCCAGGCTGTTTTGTCCGGTCGAACTCTGTGCCTGGCCCTGGATTGCGAAGACTCTCTCCCCCCAGCCTTTCTCCTGAGGGGTCTGTGGCTCTGCGCCCGCCCACAACCCACTGGGCGGGCGCTGCTTGCTGGTTCTCGTGTGACCTGGGACCCGAGGCCCATGCCCCGCTCCGGCGGACCTGCTGGTCTGGTGCGGGGAGCTGAAAGGCTGTTCCCTTCACTGGGTCGTTTCTGTGCTCTGTCAGAGACCAGGGGGCCCGTTGGGGTGGGTCTGCTTCTGGACTCTCTGTCCCGCTGTGTCGGTCTGTTGTCCCGCCGTCACTGTGGCTGTATCGCGGGTCCTGCACTGGGCCTCCCCCTTCTTTCTCTAGCCGTCCGGCTGCTGTGGCGGCCTTGTCTGCACACGGCAGCGTGGTGCTGCTGGCCGCGCCCCCCTGTCCGCCGGCAGGTGGGCAGTCTCCCTCCCTGCACCCGTACCAGGTCCCCAGTCTGCCCCCTCGAGGGTCCGCCCCTCCCGCCGCCTGGCAGGCTGGGTTCCTCCGTGCCGGAGGGGGAGGCGATGCGGTGAGGTGCATGCAGGGTCGGGCCCCCTCTCTGAGCTTCCGCGACAGGACGACGGTAAGAGACCCCTGCGCCCTTTAGGAAGGGGCGGGCCCTCCCTGCAGCCCGTTCCCGCTCCCCGCCCTCCTGCCTCAGGACTGAGCGTCTTCCTCTCGCCACATCTCCCCGTGATTGCAGGATAAGTCGCTTGTCTTCGAATCAGCGTGGAAGAAGGAGAAGGACATCGTCTCCAAGGAGATAGAGAAGCTGCGCGTGTCCATCCAGACCCTGTGCAAGAGCGCGCTTCCGCTGGGCAAGATCATGGACTACCTGCAGGAGGACGTGGACACCATGCAGAACGAGCTGCAGCTGTGGCGCAGCGAGAGCCGGCAGCACGCGCAGGCCCTGCGCCGGGAGCAGAGGTGGGGCGGGGGTGTGGGCGGGGCAGGGACGGGGGGGCGTGGTGAGGTGTGGTGTGGGCGGGGCAGGGGCGGGGCGTGGTGAGGCGTGGTGTGGGTGGGGCGTGGTGGGGACGGGACCTGGTGAGGTGTGGGCGGGGCAGGGATGGGGGCGTGGTGAGGCGTGGTGTGGGCGGGGCAGGGGCCGGGTGTTGTGTAGGCGGGCTGGGTGGGGCGTGGTGAGGCGTGGTGTGGGCGGGGGTGATGGCGGGGCGGGGCCTGGTGGGGCGGGGTGCGGGGGGTGAGGCATGGTCACGGTGTGGCGGGCAGGGGCGGGATTAGGGGAGCCCCTAAACTGCCAGCCCCTCTCCGGCCTCTGCCAGACAGCGTGCCCACGGAGCCACACGGCCAGGGTGAAGCGGCAGTTATTAGAGCAACCGTTTGCAGGGAAGGGGTTGTGAGCCCTGCCCAGCCGCCGGAGAACCTGGCGGGGCGCCCCCAGTCAGACGCGAGGCCTGAGAGCAGGGACGGCACGTCCCTATTTAACAGCACGTTCCGCACGCGCACCAGTCTACTGCGGCAGGCTGTCGTTTGTCCGCTCCTGGTGCCGGCTGAAGCGCCCCCTTGCCGCCAGCAGAACCGGAACGGGCTCTCCGGCGGCTGTCGGGGTCCTCTCCGTGCGCGCAAACAGTGTGGGGGCTGGACGCGGGTGGGTCGGCACCCACGCACAGTCTTCGTTCGTTCACCGTGGTCAGACCGCTCCGTGACGTCCAGGAGGATGCCCCACTTACCTCCCTGGCGCGCCCTCCTAGGCTGTCCGGATACCCCATGACCCGCTGGCGCTCGGACGCGCAGAGGGAGGCGAGCTGCGGCCCTGCGCTCAGACTCAGGCCAGAGCTGCGGCGGCTGATGCTGGGCTCTGAGCGCGGCGCCCTGCTCCAGGTGCCACTGGCTTCCTCTTTGCCCTTTTTTGGAGAAGCGAGAACCCCCTTTGGGTGCCTTTGGGTCAGCGCAGGCAGGCACTACTAACGCAGTCCTCCGCGAGCGCGAAGGGTCGGAGCGGGGGCTTTCCAGAATCGGGAAAGCCTGGCACGGGCTGGCCCTGGTTGTGTTTTGGTTCGAGATGTTGAAACCATCATCCCAGACTTTTCCCCCTGAAGACGCCCCACTCGACTTCGCGGTCGGGCGGCTGGGCGCTGTGCCCCTGTGTGCCCCTGTGCGCAGACGGGGGCGGGGGGAGGGAAAGGCAGGTGGGACTGGCTCTGCCACAGACCCCTTGCTTCGCCAGAGTCTGACCCCCAGTGAGGGGCCGCCGGCCTTGAACAGGGAGTGGGAGGGCCCTCAGTGGGGACCACTGACATGGGTGCGCCTGCCTTGGGGGTTGGGGTCCCCCCACTGAGGCAGGCAGGGGTGTGCGGGGCTGTCCGGGTGGTGCTTCTGGGTGTCGTGGGCCCTGCTGCTCGGCCTCCCGGCCGTCCCTGGGCCCTCGGTGACACCTGGATTTCAGGGCTTTAAGGATCATTAGCTTCCTTTGGGTAAACCTCACGTTCAAGGGCGCTTTGGGCTGTGGCGGGGGATGAGCCCAGTGGACTTTGCCAGGTGTCAGGGGTTTGTCCCTCGCATCACCTCACCGTTGTGCTTGCCGTGTCTTCACCTCTTTCTTTGGACGGGACGAGCACTGAGCTGTGGACGCGTACTACGGAGAGGGCGTGGCCTGGGGGGAGGGGCGGGGGGCTACAGGTGGGAAAGGGGCAGGAGGTGGGGACAGCCGCAGGGCCTGGACGGCAGCCCACACTGGAAGCGAGTGAGTGTTAAACGAAGCAGCAGCCTGTCCGAGAGGAGGCGGGGCCCTCACGGCGGTGCCTTCCCTCCTCAGCATCACGGACGGCGCCGTGGAGCCCCTGCGGGCGGAGCTGGCGGAGCTGGAGCAGCTGATCCGGGACCAGCAGGACAGGATCTGTGCCGTGAAGGCCACCATTCTGAAGAACGAGGAGAAAATCCAGAAAATGGTGTACGGTCTCAATTTGAGTTCGAGACGGTGAACCTCTGTGGTCTCAGCGATTCAGAGTCTGAAAATAAAAAGGACGATGGAGCAGCATCGCTCTCTAAGTTCAGTTTGCAAAGGAAACGAACGGTTAACAGTGTCGTCTAGCCGGCGTCCCGCGCGGCGGGAAAGCCGTGGGCGCGCTCAGTGCGTGGAGAGTCCTCCGGCGGGCGGGCTCGCTGCTGAACGCCTGGGTGGGGTCTCCTCGCGGCCCATCCTGCGTGTCCCCGGGAGCCTGTCCTGTCCAGTCCCTTCCAGAACCCTGGAGCCCCGCGCGAGGATGACTGCCCCTGGAGGCACCTCGCCCCGGGGAGCGCAGCCCGGGCAGGAGAGGGTTCTGGTTTTAGGTCACCTGCACTGGGAAGGGGTCGCTGCGGCCTGTGTCGCCCAGAGGTGCACGGGGGCGGTGTGTCAGCCCCGTAGCTGTGCGGCCCTCTTCACGTGATTTTCCCAGCAGTCCCCGCTGTCGGCGGCTGGTGTTTCTCGTCCTTCAAGTTCCCGAGTTTAAGGAGGTTCTGTGCAGCCCTCACGGCATGGCCCGGATGTGAGCTCGTGCCCAGCTGCCCTGGCTTTGTTCGGCGTCTGCCTGGCGCCCCGGGCGGGTGCTCCTGAGGCTCCAGGGGCCCTGCCCTCCCCGCCGGGCCGGCCCTCCGCTTCCCAGCGATGCGCGCGTGTGCACCTGCCCGGCAGGCGGTCCAGGGGCGTCTGGGGAAGGGAGGCCCCGATTCACGACAGTGTGTGATGTTGCCATTTGGGGAAGGAAATTATTTTTTAAAAGAAAGGGTTTTTTTTTTTTAAAAAAAAACATGGTTTGTATTCAGTTTTTCACATACACACAGCACTCCATACTCAAGTTTCAGGCACGTGCATAAAGGGTTCCGCTGTTGGAGACACACCTGCCGGTGTGCACACTTGACCCTCTGGACAGGGTGTCTGCTACGTAGCCAGCGGGCGCCGCGCACGGCGTCAGGGCTGCCCGCGGGAACCGTGTCGCCGTGAGGGTCCGCACGCCCAGCACAGCTGAGCTTTCCTTAGTGCGGTTTCCACGGTGATCTTTCACCCAGGTAGTGACATGCTTTTCTAAGCCAAGTACAAGAGTAGATGACTAAGATCTACCATTTAGAAACACCGATCTTTTTCTCCTCTCTAAAATTTGTTTGATCAGATTACACTGAATCCCTTATTGGAGGGAGGGAGGTGTTTTGGTTAACTGGTCCTTCGCTTACTTGTGATCTGTTTCCTACCGAATCGAATGGCTCAGCCACGACCCACATGGCGCTGCTCTGCTTCAGGCTAACGTGCCTGCCCTTTACGGATTTGTACACGTGGCTAGGAGTTTTGCATTGCAAAAATTACATACGTTGTATGTGGGTAAAATTTTGTATGAAGTAGCCTATCAAATTGTATCATAAAGTTTATTTTTTCTTTTATACATAAATCATTAAAAATAATCACATATTTTTTCTATGAGTGTACGGGTTGTGCAATTCAGTTCACACCTGGAAGAAATCTGTAAGCATTTGGGTTTTTTAATTTTTGAATGTGCATTTTGTTTTTCCTCCAAAGGAGGTTCAGGGAAGGGACGCTTGTCCCTTTTCCGTATCAACGGGAGCTTTCTGAGACAGGTAAGCATTTGTCAAACCGTCAGGCTGTCCGTAGAGTCGTGGAGAGTCTCTGAGTGTGATTACAAATAAATCACATCTGAGCTATTTATTATGTTGATAAAATACACAGATGCGATATGAAATGTTTTCTCTACTTTGGTTTCTAAGTTTTCAGGAAGTGCTGGAGTCATCAGAAATTTCAGTTTAAAAGTTGAGCTGACACTAACATATTCAAAGGAAATAAGTAAACCTTTGGAACAACTTATTCAAGACTAAAAAAAAATGAAGCTTTCTACTTGGTGGTATTTGTGCCTTTTCTTTTTAATAAGGAACTTTAAAACAACGATGGCCGACATCTGCGGAGAGAGATGCAGTCACTCAGAGCTGAGTGCGGGCCGGGTCTCGGGGGTCTGGCGCGCTGTCCAGCGTGCTGGCAGCGGCCCCTGACCCATCGCGGGACTCCTCGTCCAAGGTGCCCTGACCCGACTGGGCCTGACCTTCCCGGAAAGACGGGCTGGCCCAGGGCGGCCCCGGCAGGGCTGCTCGGTGGGTGAGAGCGCTGTGGGTTCGATGCCTGGTCAGGGCGCGTCCGGGAATCAACCAATGAGTGCGCGAACACGTGGAAGGACAAATCAGTGTTTCTGTCTCTCTCCCCCGCTTCCTCTCTCTCTCAAAACAATTTAAAAACAGAAAGATGGCCTGCCCTTTGCCAGCTCTTGAATAAACAGCTCGCTGTCAGTGGTCCCAGGCCGAGGATGAGCCGTCTGCTCGAGCTCCCACCAGACCCGGCTGCAGAATGAGGCGGAAGCACAGGGTCTGGGCCCAGGTGCGCCCACCTGCGGGGAAATCCCAGCAGCCGCGACTGGGCTGCAGGCTCCGGAGTCCCCGCCCACTCCCAGAGGCCCAGGGAGCAGACCGCCCTGCCCATCCTACCTCCTGCGGAGGGGCCCGGCCCCGCCCCGGAGCCTCGGAGGTGGGCTCTCGGTTTACCTCCGCCAGTGACGCACTTCCGCCCATAGGAAGGTTTCGTGTCTTCCTAACGGGCCTCCGGGAGGCGGGGTTTATGTGAGCCCTACACCGGGCCTGAGCGGCGGGCCCCGGAAGGTCCCCTCTCGCTGGTTCTGCGTGTTTTCATAAAGGGAGATTGGAAAGGACTTTTCTTTTAAATATAGCAAGAGAAAAGAAAATTAAATGGCTTTTTAAACTATAAAACGAATTCTAAAGTCCATATTTACAGCTGAGTTCCAAATTATCAGCTTCTTAAGCTAAGCAAGTCCGTCTTTCAGGTGAAACAGCGTTCTCAGCTTTGTGTTTTTTGTTTTGTTTTGTGTTTTTGTTTTTTTTGTCCTTTAATTCTTAGACAGTGGGGAAGGGAGGGAGAAAGAGAGGGACAGAAACACCAGTGTGTGGTCGCCTCTCGCTCACTCCTACACAGGAGCTGGCCCGCAACCCAGGCACGTGCCCCGACTGGGAACTGAACCCGTGACCCTCTGGTTCTCAGGCCTGCGCTCAGTCCGCTGAGCTGCACCCACCAGCCACAACGGCCCTGTTTAGTGAGGCAGTGGGATGCGTGGGCAGGAAGCACTCAGAAGACAAGTGTAGTAAGTGCTGAATTTATTCTGGGGTGAAGAGCTCCTGAGAAAGATTTTCAGAGGTCACAGGTGAAAAAGATGAACATTTGCTCTATAAAAATTAAAAAATTTCTATACAGCCAAGCAAAAGCGAGCAAGTGAACAACCCACCGGAAGAAGTATGTGCAACATCTCTAACAAAGAGACAAAGGATTTGTAACGAGGGAGGAAATACAGCCCGTTGAGTGGCACAGGAACGGTGTGTTAGGAAGCACGTGGAAACCAGCGTTTGACCTTATTACCGAGGAGAACCGGGCAGAGTTTGGGAAACCAGAAGGAGAGCGCCCCCTGCCTGTGAGCCCCGGCAGAGCGGCGGCGCAGCCCTCCGCGGGCGGAGGGCCCCTTCCTTAGCTTATGACTTTGGTCGAGAGGCCTGAACTTTTTGCCTAACTTTTTAAGCATTTGATTGAACCCACCAGGGGCCTACTCCATAGTTTGATGTCAGAGGATGAGTGCCTCACTGGTTATAAATACCAAGGTCAGCCCTGGCTGGTGTGGCTCTGTGGATTGAGCATGGGCTGCAAACCACAGGGTCGCCAGTTCGATTCCCAGTCAGGGCATAGGCCTGGGTTGCAGGCCAGGTCCCCAGTAGGGGGCGCACGAGAGGCAACCACACACTGGTGTTTCTGTTCCTCTCTTTCTCTTCCTCTTTCCCTGTCTCTAAAAATAAATACATAAACAAATAAATAAAATCTTTAAAAATAAATGAATACCAGGATCAGTAACTGGCACGGAGGTGCCCTGTATATAAGTATTGGCCGTTTGTCCGTCACGGTCTGGGAACCGTGAGCCATGAGCCCACGCTTTCGATCGGCAGGCGTGAAGGGGATTAGCAACGCACGGGGCGGGTGAGGGTGTGGTGTGCGTTGGGTAGTTTGGAGGGTGTTTTGGAAGTGCTTCTCACGCTGCAAAACGGGACTGTTTTGCCGACAGAAGAGACAGCGGAGCTGGGACGTGACCGCTGTCCTCACACAACGGTGGGTAGAGGGGGGGTGGACCTGCCTCTGTGGCTAAAGACCAGCCGTGGGCGAGGAATACGGGGACAGGAGACTCTGGCTCTGGGTCCCCACTCAGATGGACGGTCTGGAGGCCCATGGACGGCCTGGGAGCTGTCGGGGGAGGAGCTCTGGCAGAGGCTGGCTGACCGCTCCTCCGGGCGCTGGTGGGGCCCCACTGGGACTGCCCCCCACAAGGAACAGACCCCCCACTTCCCCAGGTCTGCACCCCACCCTGCTGCTCTGCCTCCACCACCCTGCCACCCCTCGTGTGGATGGATGGGCACAGCGGCCACACCCATGGCACTCTGAGGGCCCAAGAAAGTGTACACTCTTAGCAGGGAAAAGCAAACTTTTATCTCAAAGGAAATGTTTTAGGATGTAATATTAATATATTTGCCTTTCTGTCAATGCAGTTGTGAAGTGCAATTTCTAATACTTTCTGTGGAGGAAGGGCCCAGGTGACCCGGGCCGTCACGCAGCCCAGGTCGGCTGCTGGGACCCACACCGTCTGTCCCTGGGCAGGACCCGCCTCGAAGGGGACCTCACGGTGCTCTGCCCCCCGGGACCGGGGCAGCGGAGCCGAGCCCGAGTCCTTCCGGCGGGTGTCCCATTCCCGGGGCCCAGGGCTCGGAAGGAAGGCGTCTTTGGGGCAGTTTCAGTACAAACCCTGGGATGCATTAAAAATAGAACTTCCAAATAAAACCCCCAAACCGGGGTCTGAAGCACTAAAGCTTGCCCGGGCGGTGCACATGGACCGGTGCTCTTGGCACCGGCAGCCGCGGCGCCCCCGCCGAGAGCCGCTCCTGCGGCCCGTAAAACTGCGCGCCCTCCTGCCGCACCTGCCAAAACAGCCGTTTGTGGGATCCGAGTGAATTCTTGGGCCCCCCACCAACGAACAAGGTCACGATTCATAACGAGCAAAGTGGTCCCTGGGCGAGTGGGACGGCGCTGGGGGGTCCCCTCACCGTCGCCCCCCAGGAAGAGCCTGGCGGAGCCTACCCTGTGGGGCTCCTCAAGTCCACACTGCCCGCCCTGTGACCGACCCCCGGGCCCCACCCCAGACTGGCCCCCCTAACCCCCCCCGCGGGGCCGGTGCTGGGTCTCCGGCCACAGCTGCTCGGACCAGCAACCTCGACGTCCAGGGGTTTTTCGAGCCGTTACGTGAAAAGTCGTGGACACTGACAACTCATCACTAACTTTTTAAAAATCACATCTTACTGTTACCTGTGCCCTGAGGTCATCGGTGTCTTGTGTCCGAGGGGGGGAATCCTTCCTGCCCCGGCCCGGCTCCTCCCAACACGGGGCAGCGCAGTCGCTGGCGGCGGGCGGGAGCGTTCGTGCCCTGGAGGCTGGGAGAGGTTTGTCGGCAGCCGGCACGGCGGCGAATAGCATGGGAAGCTGAAGGAATTCCTCCCAGGAGTCAGAACCGTCCAGCAGAGAAGCCGCTCACGTGGACAAGCGAGCGGAGTCCCCGCGGCTCCCGCTCTCCTCTTACTGGTCAAAGCAAGGGACGGGCTGGCCGGGTCACCCGACGCGGCGCTCAGCTTTCCAGCGTATCATGGGGGAAATGAAGGCTACACATCTTCACATCACGAATATTTTCAAAGTACATTATGTGCCGTGTCACTGAGAACACGGATGACCCACCTCCCCCGGCCTGGGCAGGAGGTGCCCGCTGGGGCAGGGGGTGTCCCCAGTGTCCTGGGGGGGCGCTCAGCCTGCCCTGGAGAAGCCGGCCCTCCCCTTACGCCAGGGCAGCCCCCGGTGTTCCTGCCTCGTCACTGGGGCTTTGTCCTCCCCTCTAAGCCCGTCTCCTTCCCAAGCAGCACTGCGGAGTGTCCCCCGAGTCCCCGGGCCCCTGCGGAGGCAGGTGTGGGGCACGGTGGGGGGGGGCGGCCCTGATTGCTTTCCAAATGACTGCACCTGTCTCCTCCCCGACACAATAGCCACTTGAGGCTACGGCTCCTTTGGGCTCTGTTTTCTGGAGTGGACACTGAGGTGCTGGGGGAGTGGGGTTCATGCATCTGGATCCCACAGACTGGGGGAGGGGCAGGGGGAGAGCGGGGGAGGGGGAGGGGCCAGTGCCGCTGGGCAGGTCTTCCCCCGGGACTCCCGGGCAGAGCCAGGCTGCCCCCTCAAGGCCCTCCCGGGCGGCCCCCTCACCCCGGGGGGGCAAAGGCGGCGGTCTCAGCCTCCCCCCAGCACCCAGTGCCCTGTGGTTGGTCCTGACGGAGTGGACCCAACGGTGGGTCGAGGGGCTGGTGGTTTCTGATCCCCGCCCACCGGCGACTGCTGTGTGTCCTCAGGGACCTCCGTCGTTCCGGCTCCTGGTTCGCCGGCGCGTCCGCCGAGAAAAGGGACCTGACACGGGAGTGAGCGTGACTCACGGGGCCCTTCCCGACTCAGCCCCGGTTTACACGCTCACCGAGGGTGTGCGTGGTTTCTCATCCCGAGGTCTTCCCGTGATCTCGTCCACGGGCACGCACACACAGCACAGACACGCCGCACACGCATGAGCTCTGTGCTCCCGCCACAACTCGCACAGGGGCGTGCAGGTCACCGGACGGGTGCCTCGTGTTGCTTCCTCGGCAAACGTCTTGTCGCTCTGTAGCGGCTCCTGCCGCGGCCACTGAAGGTGCCCCTGTGCCCCCACCCCCACCGCG